TATCATCACATTGATGACAATACAAGAACTGTATATATCATCACATTAATGACAATACAAGAACTGTATATATCATCACATTAATGACAATACAAGAACTGTATATATCATCACATTAATGACAATACAAGAACTGTATATATATCATCACATTAATGACAATACAAGGACTGTATATGTATCATCACATTGATGACAATACAAGAACTGTATATATCATCACATTGATGACAATACAAGAACTGTATATATCATCACATTAATGACAATACAAGAACTGAATATATCATCACATTAATGACACTGTATATATCATCACATTGATAACAATACAAGAACTGTATATATCATCACATTGATAACAATACAAGAACTGTATATATCATCACATTAATGACAATACAAGAACTGTATATATATCATCACATTAATGACAATACAAGAACTGTATATATCATCACATTGATAACAATACAAGAACTGTATATATCATCACATTAATGACAATACAAGAACTGTATAATTATATCATCACATTGATGACAATACAAGAACTGTATATATCATCACATTAATGACAATACAAGAACTGTATATATCATCACATTGATAACAATAGAAGAACTGTATATATCATCACATTGATAACAATACAAGAACTGTATATATCATCACATTAATGACAATACAAGAACTGTATATATATCATCACATTAATGACAATACAAGAACTGTATATATCATCACATTGATAACAATACAAGAACTGTATATATCATCACATTAATGACAATACAAGAACTGTATATATCATCACATTGATGACAATACAAGAACTGTATATATATCATCACATTAATGACAATACAAGAACTGTATATATCATCACATTAATGACAATACAAGAACTGTATATATCATCACATTAATGACAATACAAGAACTGTATATATCATCACATTAATGACAATACAAGAACTGTATATATCATCACATTAATGACAATACAAGAACTGTATATATCATCACATTAATGACAATACAAGAACTGTATATATCATCACATTAATGACAATACAAGAACTGTATATATATCATCACATTAATGACAATACAAGAACTGTATATATCATCACATTGATGACAATACAAGAACTGTATATATCATCACATTGATGACAATACAAGAACTGTATATATCATCACATTGATGACAATACAAGAACTGTATATATCATCACATTAATGACAATACAAGAACTGTATATATCATCACATTGATTATCATCACATTGATAACAATACAAGAACTGTATATATCATCACATTGATGACAATACAAGAACTGTATATATCATCACATTGATGACAATACAAGAACTGTATATATCATCACATTAATGACAATACAAGAACTGTATATATCATCACATTAATGACAATACAAGAACTGTATATATCATCACATTAATGACAATACAAGAACTGTATATATCATCACATTAATGACAATACAAGAACTGTATATATCATCACATTGATGACAATACAAGAACTGTATATATCATCACATTGATGACAATACAAGAACTGTATATATCATCACATTGATGACAATACAAGAACTGTATATATCATCACATTGATGACAATACAAGAACTGTATATATCATCACATTAATGACAATACAAGAACTGTATATATCATCACATTGATGACAATACAAGAACTGTATATATCATCACATTGATGACAATACAAGAACTGTATATATCATCACATTGATGACAATACAAGAACTGTTTATATCATCACATTGATGACAATACAAGAACTGTATATATCATCACATTGATGACAATACAAGAACTGTATATATCATCACATTAATGACAATACAAGAACTGTATATATCATCACATTGATAACAATACAAGAACTGTATATATCATCACATTGATAACAATACAAGAACTGTATATATCATCACATTGATGACATATAAAGTTAAAAGATTTCTAATAAATTTATAAACGTGGATTAAACTTATAACTAATAATAACTATAAACAGTATATCGGACAGCAAATAGACCAAAAAATGTTACGTGTACTCCATAACCGTACGGTGTTTCTAGTTTTCGACTGATTTGGCGTGTACATGATTTTTATTGCATAATGTTTAAGTAGCTACAAATCCTGGTCAAACCAGGCAATCAGTTATGACATCTAGTCTGTTGTTACCCACTTTCCATCTTATATCATATTTTTGTCATCATCTTCATAAATATATTTCAGACTTAAGTGCGTTGTATAAATAGAAATATTTTGAAACTGAATCTGAGAATTTTAGCAATTATATTTTGATATTGTAACATTTCTGTCCACGATGTTCTACTAATACAAAATCTTTATACATGTAATCTGTTGACAGCAGGTGCAAGGTGTTGGTGGGCAGCTGTAAAAAGTTTATGTAGATATTTTACTGCTCCCTCTGGATCATTGATTTCAATATTTTAGTGTGGAAAATTAACCATTACTACAACTACTACTCGTAGAGTTTTGCTATTTTCACTTACTTATTTTTTGCTCGCATTGTTCTCGAGGGGTCTCCTATTTTCAGAATATTTCTCTCTTAACTAATCGTAGCTTGTTCAACATTTGATTTATCACTTTTTGTTATTTCTTGCTGCTTGAGCAGTTACTGAAAGAGGAAACTTTACCTAAATTGTGCATTGTTCAGTAACAAAGCAGAAATTTGACCAGTTCGTTGATAAAGATTGAATTCTCTCATATTACGACATGACACACTGCAATAATCAATGTCAATGCCTTTTTGAACGTGAACGTAATATTCATGCACAACGTTGTAAAAATTGTAGTCTCTTGTGAAATGAACTTCACGCTGAGATGCACTTTAGTTGAATAAAAAGAAAGGACATTATTTTTAATTATATCTCTTTTGCAAAGAAGTGTTATTGTTTTATTTCTCTGCAAAAAGGGATCAGGAAGAATATTATAGGCTATGATTCATTTATTCACGGAGTGATGGATTTATGTTGTAATAATTCTTCATAAAACGAAATGTTTTGTTTTCCGAAGACAATATCATACAAATTAAAGAAAAAAATAGGATTTCAGGAAAAAATTAAAGTAAGTGTTTGGATTTCTACAAAATAGTAGAGGGCTTTCAGATGTTGAAACGGAAAAAGAGGGATGAAACTATAAAACACAATACTTATGAAAAATAAAAACTGAATCACGTTTCAAAACTCCCATCCATTACTATGAAATACATAGTTAATTGAAATGATCATCTGAAACAGACATTTTAATTCCATTTTACACTGGTATCTTGACGCTTAATACATAAAAGGATGAAAAACATTCTTGGTAAGAAAAAAGAAAAAAGAAACAGTTTTTCACGCAGGTCCTCATCAAATTGTATTCGGCTTAAAATACTAGCGTACTAACAACACAACAAAGACAAAGGCGAATGCTGGGGCTTATATGAACGACACAACTTCATACAAAAGATGAAAAAAATCATGCGGTGCTTTTCTCTGAAAAGTTTTATATGCTCATTGAAATGGAATTGAAAGATTAAAAATTGAGCTTTGTTTTAATTAAGTTTTTCACTAATGAGAAAAAAACAAAAATTGCGTCTCTGTTAAATTTTAATGTTTGAAAATCAAAGATAATTTTGCTGAAGATAACATAGCAAATATAAGATTTTATTGGTCGCAAATGTCTAAAAAAAATTACACAACATGTGGATTAATTTTGATGGAACAGAATTAATGCTCGCTTTATAACAACGCGGAAAACAATGGTAAAATGATATTGACTTTTAGTAATTTCTGTCGAAGGTCAGATTGACAATCGAAAGAAGTATTCTTAAATTAAATATTGCCATTTCAAATCCTATCTAAATCAAATAACTTTTGCATTTTATTCAACTGAATGGGCGCTTTTTCCACAAAAAAAATCCCTTCAAACATTCAATAAATTAAATAATTGCAAATATTATGATCTTCGATCTAAATGTTTTGGCGCCAGCTGTCCTGATGGTTATAAAAATTGCTTTGAAAGATTTGTAACATTCTAAAATTGCCTTTCATTGTAAAAGACCTTCAGCAAAGCAAATTGCATGAAGGATCGTTCACGTAATATTGCTTCCATGATGTGGTATAACAATTATGCTCCTTTTGACTCGCTTATGCAATAGTTATTAGGGTAATAACTGACTTATGATTCATTCGAATGCCTTGCACTAATCTATACATTGCATTTAGCTGTTATCCAATCCCAACTGTGATTATATTTTATGTAAAATCTTTCGAGACTTCTTGATTTGTTAATCATTTTCTTGTTTTCTCCTTCTGCATTTGGGATATAAATATCTTAATTCTGTTGCACACACTATATATGGAATACATTAAAGTTTATTGAAATAGTTGTACATCAAATTGTTTAAATAATGCATTCACGTGAATAGCTATATTTGAATTTATGATGTTATTTTATAAATGATTAAATAAATGATTAAATGCTTATATGCGTATTATTCAAAATAGTGATGTATTTACCGCGAATGAATTATATGAGGTTATAAAACATTGTTAAGTACAATGTTTAATTCTTCTGGACAAGTACACGCTGTCAAGCCAATATTGGACGAGGCGATATTGGTTATGTGGTTTTAATGACATTTATTATGTTAAATACTGTCTGAATTGTTGTCATATTTTATAACACAAGATAGTGGTTACAGTTTAGTTTTTATTAATTATTTTAATAAAAGACACGTGCTAGTTGTTGATACACAATACAGAGCACATCGTTGATCCTTGTGCACATAAACATGTTGCTGTGGAAACACAGTTTGTAATGTTACTTTGATATTGGTTGCTGCATGGAGACAGTTAACACGTCTGTACATATATTCTCTATGATTTCATTGAATGTAATTTAAAACGTTTTTTTTTTCTTTTTTTTCAGCATCTACGCCGTCTGATCAGATCAAACAAGACTTTTGATTGACAATATCTTCATACTTCATATAATCTTATATCACGTGGTACCGAGTTTCTACAGATGTAGACCTCACTAAACTTTATTCAGGTAAGATGCTTAGAAAATAAACATAAGATTTTATTTCCATAGAAAAAATATAAAATTGTAAAAATATTAATCGTTTCAAAATTATTTATTTGCGGAAATATTTCGTCTGTTTTTATAGAATTCTCTTTGCCACTTGCAATCCGAAGAATCTTTTGTAAAGAAATGTAAAGATCGTTTTAAAAAGCTAATGACTGCAAAAACAGGTCCATCGTGCAATAACAAAAGAACACTTGTTTATGAAAAAAAAAGAAGAAGATTATTATAAGTTAATTCTAAACATGGTTTAAAAAAGTAAGACTAGACAGAAATAATATAAAAAATGAGATAAGAAGGAAATGTCATCAGTCAATTTAACATAACATTCTTGGTCTGCAATGCTACATTTCATGAACTGGTGGAAAGTCATTCCATAAAATACGTATTTTGCTGATTTACTGGCTTTTTGTACTGAAAATTACATGTTGTAAAACATAATGAACGTAGATCAATGATAAAACAAGATATTGCGACATGAGATTTGTAATGAAGAAATAAATGTATTAAAAGTGAGTGATTAAATTAGATGACAATGACTGAGATATAAAATATAAAGATAAGCGTAGATCTTATCATCTTAATCTTTATTGCTTCCACGTGCATTAATAAAGTTGATTGTTTTGTGCTGTATTAGTTGTAGATTTTAACTAAATATTTTCATATATTCTTATATTTTACTCACGTGAGGTATACAATGATTCCAGAGTAAACTAAATAAGGATATACATCAAAAGTTTATGAAAATGTTTTCTCATTGAAAAAAAAATCTTTATGATAAAAGCGTGTGGAAGTTCATCGTGTTGTAGTCAACTGTGTGGTAGTTTACAGTGTAGTAGTTCACTGTGTTGTAGTTCACTGTGTTGTAGTTCACTGTGTGGTAGTTTACAGTGTAGTAGTTCACTGTGTTGTAGTTTACAGTGTAGTAGTTCACTGTGTTGTAGTTCACTGTGTTGTAGTTTACAGTGTAGTAGTTCACTGTGTTGTAGTTTACAGTGTAGTAGTTCACTGTGTTGTAGTTCACTGTGTGGTAGTTCAATGTGTGGTAGTTCAATGTGCGGGGTAGTTTCCAGTGTTGTAGTTCACTGTGTTGTAGTTCACTGTGTGGTAGTTCACTGTGAGAGGTAGTTTTCAGTGTAGTAGTTCATTGTGTGGTAGTTCACTGTCAGTGGTAGTGTTCTGTGGTTGTTCATAGCATGGGGTAGTTTACAGTGTAGTTGTTCACTCTGTGGTAGTTCAAAGCGTGGTAAGTCACGGTGAGTTAGTTCACAGTTAGTTTGTTCACTGTGTAGTAGTTAACTTTGTGGTAGTTCGTGGTGAATTTCTCTGAATGAACATCAATAATGAATGATACAAGACTTTTTAGATTTTGCCAAAATTTAATGAATATTTTATATTTCAAATTGAAGTTAAAGCAGCATGCCTCCACATTCATGCTATTTTTCTTGAAAAGTTTGAAAAAAGATATCAATCTACAAATTGCAAACGCCACTTTCAATCAACGTTAATTACTAAAAGAGGTCAAAGATAGCCCTTACTGCATTAGTAACGCAGTAGAAATGTGATGATTAATACCAGTCATTAATCTCTTATAACATGTCAATTATACTAATAATGGATTCACGAATGCTTTTTTTCATAAGCTCTGTGAATGACATCATATTGCAATCGTTTCTTGTTTTTCTGTTATGGTTCTAAAACAATTAAAGTGTTGTTTTTTTTAAGCCACCTTTCAATGTTTTTATACATTAATGGCAACTGTACTTGGTATGTTAATCAAATGCATCGCATGTGACCCGTGCAGCAAGTAAATTAAACAATTATTCAGCCGCCGATTAACTCCAATTGTACCTTACTTTCAAGAACTAACCTTTCCATGAATTTAAGGGGTTTTTTTGGGGAAAGAGCAAAACACCAGTTCAAAGCACTTCTCTATTTTATACTACGAGACAATCAAACATTTTAAATTGATTTATTGGACAAATTATCGCTCATTCTCTAGGAAAATGGATAAAAATAACTACTGTCTCTGTTACAAAGATTGTGCACAAGTGGCCGTAATGAATTTTGTGCATCTTTGATAGCAAGTTATTTTGATCGATTTGCTGGCACAGTAGCGATTTATTATATAATGTACCCTTCTGGGAATTTCGCCATGCTTTCTTTTCCACATTGTAATGCGTCATTTTGTGATGTGAAACATTGTGAGATTGTTGAAGCCCGGTTCATAAGGTCTATAAACAAATATCGCATGTCTGTGATTGTTACAGAAATTTAATATAATTATCCTAAAAAAACTTTTGTTAATGTACGGATATTCAACTCATGGTACTGTATTCAGTACTGACAACGCGTTCCTACTAGACCGCAACAAATAGGACCAAAACTTATCCACATTTTAAACCCAATAATTCACTAAAAAACATAGGAAATATATAAATGCAACCTGATGTATACTTGAGCTTGTTAGAAATGAAATTTTTAATATTGTTTGATTTCACATAGCTTCTTTATTTGCTGTAAGAAAAAGTCTTGCACGTTTCGCCCGAATAAACTTTATGCAAAAAAATTTAACAAGTATTTTAATTTAAAACTTCCAAACGGGTGCGCGTGAACTCATTATTCATTTCATTCTGCATAAATTTATGTTCCCTTTTTCAATAAAATCTAAAAAAAAGCTTCACTTTCCTTCGTTAGGTTAGATTTTGCTCTCAAATTTTTGGTACAAAACTTTATAAAACGTATGTATTTGTAGGCTTTTACACTCATATGAATAATTCAATAAAATCAGATAACGAAAAATCAACGGCAATGAATGTACTCCCTATTGGTGTTGTTGATTACTGTTTGAGCATTATTGTCGTTATAGAAATGAAATCCGTTCTGACCTAAAAATAAATGAGCTAGCTCACCTCTTTGCATTCAAATGGCACTGTCAAAAAATTATGCTTTGAAGCCACAAGAGTACCGAAAGGTAGCTTCGCCCGTAAGTACACTTATGCCAAAAAACGTCATAGACGTCATATGTTTCTCAATAATATGAAAAATGGCACATAAAGGTTGCCGCAGTTGTCAAGGACACGCAAAAAAAATACATGAGGGAAGTTCGATTTGACTTTTTTACAATATTGTGTGTTCCTTCTCTTTTCAATTAAAACTTGACTCAATTCAGGAGAAGTTTTCACGTTCTTTTTGTCGGGGTGTAGATTCCGGATTGCTCTGCAAATTTTTTGTATCAAAATATTTATTTGAGACGTGAAGTTGTATCTGTAAGGTAAATAAGGCAAATACCTGTACCATATACTGAGTACTGACATATGCAATAACTTGCTTATTAAAGTCTGTCGTTATCTGTCGAATGTCTGCCTTTGTCTGATTTATCTGTCGAATGTCTGCCTTTGTCTGATTTATCTGTCAAATGTCTGCATTTGTCTGATCGAATGTCTGCCTTTGTCTGATTTATCTGTCAAATGTCTGCCTTTGTCTGATTTATCTGTCGAATGTCTGCCTTTGTCTGATTTATCTGTCGAATGTCTGCCTTTGTCTGATCGAATGTCTGCCTTTGTCTGATTTATCTGTCAAATGTCTGCCTTTGTCTGATCGAATGTCTGCCTTTGTCTGATTTATCTGTCGAATGTCTGCCTTTGTCTGATTTATCTGTCGAATGTATGCCTTTGTCTGATTTATCTGTCGAATGTCTGCCTTTGTCTGATTTTTAAAGGCATCAAAACGGAATGGGATGTGGACTACAATTGTGTAAATGATATGAACTTACTTTTTGAACAGTAATGAATTGTCGTATATCCATCTTCATTGCTTTGTAACTATGTGTCTCGGTATTAAACACTATGTGGCATTTAAAGTGAACTATCTTTGTAATGTCCTTGTCTAAACAATAGTCTGGCTTCTAAATAGTATAGCAAGGTCTTGATTTGCATTATGGAATATTTCTGTAAATGTGTTATTGAAGTTCACACTTGGCAGTCTTGTGACAATTATTTGCTTTGACTGCTGAAACCAGAGTGATTCTGTCAGCTAATATGGTTTGATGTGTTTTAGATAGAAGCTTGTGGCGATATCATGCTAACGCTTCCGGTGACTAAAAGGTCATTTGTATGCTTTGTTCACTTAAATCATTCCTGTGTTAAACAGGAAATAAATGTGGTGTCCTTTTTTCATAAGAATGTTAATATTCCTTGTAATAATAAACGTTTCAATGTTTACATTTGGGTTTTTTTTTGGTTGTATTTGTTGCCAATTAATATATCCCTAATATTATCCACAAACCTGACAATCAATTTACTGCACAATTTATATGATAATTAGGAACTACTGGAAAGAAGATGTAAATAGCAACTCGCAAACAGAAAATTGTTTATTGACATATTTACCTCAAACTGCCGGAAGCTAAGTCTTACATTAAAATCAATACAAGTTCTGATCCCCGGAGGGTAATGGAAACGAAAGCAAATTGTTGAAAATCGTAGACTGTTTATAAAAGATAATGAAAAGTGCATCATTTCTAAGGCCCCCGGCACCGGTTTAAGATCCAATCCCCAACACTGAATGTGTTGGAATCAATAAATTTTTCCATAGGTTGGAGTTTGGTTTTCCGGACCTAAGTTAAACTAAATGCCAGTGTACATGGTGACGTTCATGAGAGATTATGCAAGAATAACTACATTAATTAAGTAATTCAAGCAGTTTTGTAGGAATGTGCTTTTGAAAAGATCAAATCCAAATTATAAAATGTAATTGCAATTTCGCTAAATTCAAGAGGTAGGACAATACTTTTATATGTTCTAGAACCCATTGCATCATTGTTTAATAAGTTTTATCCAATTTATGTCAACATAATCAATAACAAGTTCATCGAACATAGACTGAACCAAAAATGTTTTGTAAAGATTCACTTAACAGAAAATAGGCTCACAATGTGTAAACTATGAGTAGCTAATTTCAAGTTTAATTACAGTTCGTCTGTCACCTTATTATCGGAATCTATAAGATACAGAATACTTTGAGAATGTTACAAGAACAACAAGACCATATTAAATAATTTTCTATCTATAATAAAGTCTTGCATATTCCAGGAATAAGAAATAAGAAATCTTAACCTCCATGCTTAATAAGAGGTGATAAAATAAATGCAATGAATGCTTGTCTGCCAGTCTGTTTCTTTTAAAATTGAAGAAATATATGTTTTGATAAATTGTGTTGGTTTTTTAGCTATTTATATTTAGAATTATATGTAAGCATATTTTTATTTTTATTCTATATCAACACTATGTTCTCACAGCTATTCTTACGGCAAAACTATGTGTCTCTAAATTGACATCATTTTTTTATACACATTACGTCACGACCTTTGACCGGTCGTTCTTAAAACAACTGCAAATATACAAGGCAGTAAATTACACCTGAGTTATGTTTTATCGTAGGATAATTATGATATACGGGCAAAATTGTGTAGATTGTTTTTTAATTTTCACCTTTGTAAAGCGTAAATAAATGCAACAAAGACAGCAATAGTGATTTATACACGTAGTTCATAATTTTGCTGGTATAAATGAACTAAACTAAACATGTCTGATTCTATAGAAGAATTTTAAGCTTATCAAAGGTTAAATGCATTTTTAGATTTTGCCGTCTTAATCGAGATGACAACATCTTTTCCCAGATTACCAGTAGATTTTCACCAAACTTTACAGTAATGATATTATTATTATTATCATTATTATAAACTTGTTTTGGCTGCATTTATCAAATAGTTGTTACTACAAGTTGTATTGTCTGACATAAACATAGTATTTTTTGAGGTATGTTAAGAATGGAAATTTTCATGAAGAGTTTTCATTCCAATAAACAGAAATCAACATGACTTTAATATTCTTACAGTTTTATGTTAGTAGTTTACTTACACAGAACTTAATTAAGATCAGATATGCAGACTCAGACTACGTTTTAATATGTTTTATAATATAATAGACCTTAACAAAGATATATAGCTCTTAGTCCTATGAACAAAATTAACCACAAAAAAAACAACAAAAAACAAAAACAAAAAACAAAAACAAAAAACCACAACAGCCCACATCTTCCCATCTCTAGAGTTTAATGTCTGGAGATAAGATTATATGTATCATTGTCTACTGAACCTTACTGAATTCCAAATGATCCTAGGGTCACTCACTTTTGTAACAAAAATAATGCTTTTCTTTTTTCCAAAATATTTTCTGAATTCAAAATAGTGTTGGTAAATCGGTATTGTCCATTGTCTAGTAAGCCTCAAACCCAAAATATAACAGTCATGGAAAAAGACACGAATCATTCACTGTTCCAGTTTACTAAGAACAATTATTTACTCCAACCTTCTTGTCTAAACTTTATCAAAACATATCATGTCATATATGTAATATAAAATATCAACCATTATTCCGCTAAATATTTTTTAATGGACTTGTCCATCTTTCTGTCTGAAGATGACCATTCATTATTGTATTGAAAATTTCAAAATATGTACAAACGTGCCAGCTGATCTTAGACTGCAGTGGTCTCATGTATCCTTAGCCACAAACAGGCTTTAGGTTAAAATGGTGTACAGCTATATTTGATTACAGATTCTTTAAAAATTCATAAATCTATTTATCACGGTATTTTCACTGTCTACGGTAATTTCTCAAAAAGTGTTTTCTTTTCCGAACATGAATATTATATATTAACAGAATCAAAAGTCCCTTATTTAATTTGCTGTTTAAAATGGCCTAAATAATATTTCGCGCGTGTGCCGCTTGCTTTCATAAAGCTTAACTAACATCATTTGATTCCACTTATCACGGTACGAAACAATTCATGCGCCAATTTTAGGTTTTATATACTTTAACTTCTATAAATCTCTGAAACTCAATACGTCCCTTGTAAAAATAACTTACAAATTAAATTTACGTGAAAGCAGCGAGGGTTTAATGTGTTTATAGATTTTGCTTTTGGTTACTTTGTGATGAATACTAATTCGATTATTGTGAAGAGTGTGGTGTTACATTGTACGGGAAGGTTGGCGAGGCAATCGTTCATTATGACATTCCATAATAACATGACATGTGCTAGTGTCTCTCCAGAGATCACATTGTCTCAAATTTAAAATGATTTACATTTTATCAAGATAAATAAAAGAATAATGTCCCATATGATTGTCGTAAAACTTCTTTTAGTACTTTGTGTTGAAACTGTTATTCTTAACATTACCACTCGAGGAAGAAAGACACTATTAACACTTTTTCGAAAAGATATATGATCGACAAGCCAACTTAAAAACTACTTGTAAAGGTACTACTAGTATATATATATATATATATATATATATATATATATATATATATATATATATATATATATATATATATATATATATATATATATATATATATATATATATATATATATATATATATATATATAGATTACCTTTGTAATATCACGAAAGTCAGTGGTCCAAGAAAAACTTGCTACATTACTTTGAGATAGAAATAATCGTCCCTCAACGCTGAAGCTGGGACTTTGGTATATTTCATGTGAGGAGATGTTCAGCTAATATAAGTTACGGAAGGCCGTAGTTGTTTTCAGGTGGCCGCTTGCGCCTGAAGTAATGCAGGATGTGTATCCGAGGTGCAGTAGTTGTTTTCAGGTGCCCTCTTGTGCCTTAAGTAATACAGGATAGGTATCCGAGGTGCGGTAGTTGTTTTCAGGTGCCCTCTTGTGCCTGAAGTAATACAGGATAGGTATCCGAGGTCCGGTAGTTGTTTTCAGGTGCCCTCTTGTGCCTGAAGTAATACAGGATAGGTATCCGAGGTCCGGTAGTTGTTTTCAGGTGACCGCTTGTGCCTGAAGTAATACAGGATGTGTATCCGAGGTCCGGTAGTTGTTTTCAGGTGACCGCTTGTGCCTTAAGTAATGCAGGATGTGTATCCGAGGTCCGGTTGTTGTTTTCAGGTGACCGCTTGTGCCTGAAGTAATGCAGGATAGGTATCCGAGGTGCGGTAGTTGTTTTTAGGTGCCCTCTTGTGCCTGAAGTAATGCAGGATGTGTATCCGAGGTGCGGTAGTTGTTTTCAGGTGGCCGCTTGTGCCTGAAGTAATGCAGGATGTGTATCCGAGGTCCGGTAGTTGTTTTCAGGTGCCCTCTTGTGCCTGAAGTAATGCAGGATGTGTATCCGAGGCGGTAGTTGTTTTCAGGTGGCCGCTTGTGCCTGAAGTAATACAGGATGTGTATCCGAGGTCCGGTAGTTGTTTTCAGGTGGCCGCTTGTGCCTGAAGTAATGCAGGATGTGTATCCGAGGTCCGGTAGTTGTTTTCAGGTGGCCCGCTTGTGCCTGAAGTAATGCAGGATGGGTATCCGAGGTCCGGTAGTTGTTTTCAGGTGGCCGCTTGTGCCTGAAGTAATGCAGGATGGGTATCCGGAGGCCGGTAGTTGTTTTCAGGTGGCCGCTTGTGCCTGAAGTAATGCAGGATGGGTATCCGGAAGGCCGGTAGGTTGTTTTCAGGTGGCCGCTTGTGCCTGAAGTAATGCAGGATGGGTATCCGGAAGGCCAGTAGTTGTTTTCAGGTGGCCGCTTGTGCCTGAAGTAATGCAGGATGGGTATCCGATGAAGGTCCGGTAGTTGTTTTCAGGTGGCCGCTTGTGCCTGAAGTAATGCAGGATGGGTATCCCGAAGGCCGGTAGTTGTTTTCAGGTGGCCGCTTGTGCCTGAAGTAATGCAGGATGGGTATCCGGAAGCGCGGTCAGAGTGTTTTCAGGTGCCGCTTGTGCCTGAAGTAATGCAGGATGGGTATCCGGGAACGTAGTTGTTTTCAGGTGGCCGCTTGTGCCTGAAGTAATGCAGGATGGGTATCCGGAACGTAGTTGTTTTCAGGTGCCCGCTTGTGCCTGAAGTAATGCAGGATGGGTATCCGAGATCCGGTAGTTGTTTTCAGGTGCCCGCTTGTGCCTGAAGTAATGCAGGATGTGTATCCGAGGCCGGTAGTTGTTTTCAGGTGCCCGCTTGTGCCTGAAGTAATGCAGGATGTGTATCCGAGGTCCGGTAGTTGTTTTCAGGTGCCCGCTTGTGCCTGAAGTAATGCAGGATGTGTATCCGAGGAACGTAGTTGTTTTCAGGTGCCCGCTTGTGCCTGAAGTAATGCAGGATGGGTATCCGAGGTATTCCTCCTGGCTCAATCTGGCAAGTTGCAATATAAACATGACTTAAAACACACAATAAAGAAGAATTTATCGTTCACATAAAATACACTATATTTTATGATTGCAGGCAAGGAGATGGCCGTTATGTTGGATCCAGTATGAGGATATTCTTTTGGTTCATGGTCTTACTTACATGGACTACCGGTATGGTCAAATCACAAGGTAAGATAATAAATAAAGACATGTATTTACATTTTTACATAACTTTCTAGCCTTCTTGCTCAGCTTATGAAAGTTTCTTTCAGTTTCACTAAATTATGAAGCAAATTATTCTTATTTGAAATTTTATTCATGCTACAATGTTTATTTTTATATTGTAGTGTAAGCTTACTTTTGCGTTTAAAACAAACTATGCGACTTACCTAGAGTATATGCTTAGCGTTTAAGCAACGCCACAAAACTGAAATAAAGTTTTCATGCATTTGTATGTTGGAACGTTTTTAGATACATTTGAAACATTCAAAAGAAAACATGAGCAAATAGAAATGCTTATTACTATCAATATTTTATATAAGAAAAAACATTTTGTAACTTGGTTTTATAGGATACATGGATCCAAATATTGAATCTGACTCCTGCACAAGTTGTGAGCACAAGTATACAGTTCGAGGGGCAAGGAAAGGTATATTTACGTCACCCGGATTTCCAGAGGACTATCCAGAAAGGACAACATGTTGTTACTTCTTCCACGCCAAGGAAGATGGCAGAGTAAGGATAGAATTCGACTACTTTGATCTTGAAGCGTCCGATAATGAGTAAGATATAACCGTTTGTTTTGTTGTTGTTCTTTTTTGGTGATTTATTTACTGTACATCATGTCAAGTAATAGAATTTATACTTCTCTTTATGAAGTCGACGTCTATGCCCTGACGTAGTACCTTGTATCGCATTAAAGAGACTCAACTAAAGTGTTTAGTTTTTTTTACAAGAAGGGACTGAATACATTTTTCGAGATTAATGTTCCCTTTAAAGCAGGTCTAGACCACTAACTTGACTGTTAAATTTCAGATCATTCGCTCACCCCGTTTGTTTCCAATATTAGTATTCTAATTGTGCAAAATTGACCACAATGAAATAGGGCAAAATACGATTTTCAATTTATTTCTATGTATATTTCTATATAATCTTCATTTCTTTCTCTATGAAAAGCCCGAGTATATCTATATAAGAAATTCAAATTTTATGTTATTAGTCTTTGGACCTCAGTTGAATTCCTTTAAGATGTTGCTTTAAACCGTGTAACAATTATTGAACATCACCTCCACTTAGTTAGAGAAGATAACTCTGTCGTTACATCATTTTACAACCTCTCTCAAGTACATTCTTGATGGCTTAAACAATGTTTAACGTTTGTAATGAAAGTTCTCAACAACTAGACAGATATATTGAGATAAATAACAATATAAATCAATCTATCCAGACTTTTTAAATTAACATATCTATTTTCTTTCTCACGAAAATAACACTGACGTGTCAGATCACGAAATGTAAGAAACTTTCAATAACCTTCATTCTGTTTTTGACATAACACCAACAATAGATCAATTATTGTTTTAATAGTTTCCATGCAAACACCAAAATAATACATTTAACTAAATTGAAAAAAATGAGGATTTAAAAATAATTGAACATTTGTTATATATAAAGATGATTTATTGTTTTTACACTTTTATACATAAAAACTGAAACGGGATGTCTTAAATGATACATATTCAATTTTGATACAATTTCTTTTTTCCAAATACAATGATATTTGGAAATCAGACAAACGCAATAAAATCGAATGCTTAATGTTTGTGAAATTCAAATCAAGCGCAATGAATTTAAAAGAGTGTTTTAGAGATATTACCAAACTTTGAATGAATGGAAATTAACGGAAGATCTAATTGCTTAAGAGATTCGTTCTATTTTATCTTGAACTTCTGTTTTATGGACTGATCAACAGTTTATTTTGCGGCTCGTTTTTATCTTTCTTGAATCGTGCTCTTGCATATCATTGTATAATAGAAAATGTTTTCCGATGAATTACTTAAAAGCTTTTAAAAAATTAATGCTATCGTAATAATTACTATGAAATAATTTGATAAATTGAAAAACTGTGCGGAATTTGATCTCATTTTTTTTTCTGTGACATCAGATAAAATATCTCTGACCTCAAATATTGTCTTTCATTTAATTAATCACCTGTTTTTAAATTATTCGGTGTTTGGAAACTATGGAAGTGTCGTTTTCAAATATTACTAAAAAGTATTAATTGTTTTGAATAGCAGAATAAACTCTGTACACAATCTGACCTTATGAATTTAACTGTTTAATTGAACACAGCATGAACGGCGCGAGGGGCTTCGGGGGTCATTATTCATATTCTCTAGCTAGAAGTCGTCATGAAACTCATAGTATTTTCTACTGATGTTTTTACATTTATTAAAAAGGAGCTTTACTGAGGTCCAATAAGCCTAAAAACATAAATTTGAAAGTTTTCCATAGGACAACGTGAGCACTTACAACGGAATATGTATGCAAACGATAATATGGAATTAGATTTCAAATTGATTTTGGTGCGATTCCAATCCCGATTTTAGTTTAAATTCGTTCATACGTTTTTTGTTGTTGTTCTTATTGTTCTTTTCTCCATTATAGGTCGTATAACACAATAAAAATGATAATTCTGGGAAAAAAACGGAGTTAGCAAATGATTTAATATATTGCACGGAAGTTGTTGATTCAGACCATCATCAAACTGTTGGGAGGGGGGAATTAGTCCAATCATGGGGAGAAAATGTTAGTCCAATCAAGGGGACAAAATGTTAGTCCAATCAAGGGGAGAAAATGTTAGTCCAATCAAGTAAAAAATAAAACCTCAGTAGAGTCCTTTAAAGGTTTCTCTTATTTTCTACTTGAAAATAATAAAATTTTGACATTGTATTAAAGGTGCAGATACGATTATATTGAAATATCAAGCATCAATTCGCACGGATATAAAGAGAAGCCGAAAGCGCTTTATTGTGGTAAAACTACCCCGCCCGTTTACATATCAACACATTCCAAACTTGACGTAGTGTTCCATTCTGACGTCACTACAAATGCCAAAGGATTTCTAGGACATTACGAGTTCCTCGATAAAAGTAAGTTACGCAACTTACAACATATTGATATTTTATATTAAATGTTTCAATACAATAATTATAGATAATAAAATATAATAATATCAAAATTTAACATGAATTTTTAAAAACAAGCTGATTTAGCATGACGCCTTCAGAGTGAAAAAAACACTTTCTAATCAATCAATCAATCAATCAATCAATCAGTCAAGCATACATAATCAACCGCAAAAACTTGAATGTTATAAATACCCCAAATATAATATATATGTTATAGGGATATTTAATTTTTTGACATTTCTGTGAACATCAATTATTATTTGACAAATTTCAAGTTCCTGTGCGTCACCTTTATTGTACATTTGTAATATTAATGAGGCTACACGTATTTTCAGTATTATGATACGTAATCCCATCAAAGTTATTTTCTTATACATTAATATTTGCGTTAATGTCCATTTTATTTTTATTTTATATCATATAATTTGTATCACCAATTTCTACTATAAACTGGTTTGAAATTTTAACAATTTGTGAAAGCAATACATGTACCATTAATAATTACAATTTATAAGTTTGCTCTGATTTTCAGACTGGCACCCATTTCCACCATCAACTATCGGCTGCGGTCCAGGCTATCTAACGGGTCCTGGAGGTTCGATAATTTCACCAAGACACCCAGAACCGTACCCGTCTGAGGCCGGATGTACGTGGGTCATACAAGTAGAACAACATCAAAGAATTCTACTTAACTTGTTGTCAATGGATATAACAAATAGTGGTACGAATTTAAAGTTATCTAAGCCTTACATAGCATTCCTATTCAATACAAAAAATTCCTTACCACGCTAAATATCTTAAATGGGTTCGTTCATCTTCTAGTCTGGACAAATCACTTTTAGGGAAAAAAAACCGTCAATTACCGTTAACAATAACCACTAACAAATACTTTAAAAGACGATGGAACAATGGCGTCAGGAAAATGTATGTAATATATAACCCCAATTTGCAAACTAGAAACGAAATATCTATTTCAAAAAATATTAGGCTTGCGTGAATTATCTTATTTGTATTTAATTTGTATTGCCGGGCAAACGAAAGAAAGATAACATTATTTGTTCTTCATTTAAAGAATGCCTCGTTCAAACACGAAACAACATAAATTGTAATACATATTACAGTGACGTGCACGGACACCAATCTCATGATGATATTTGATGGTTTTGTAACACCGGACAAGGATCCTCTCAGATATTGTGGTCAGTTAGAACAAGAAGCTGATGACCGCCGGGAATATCTCTCTCAGGGTGACAGAGTAGTTATAAGGTAAGTTTTTATAATACTTGTAAATTATATCTAAACGTGATTGTAAGAATTCATATAGATATAGTTTTAGAATTCATATAGATATAGTTTTTATTGTGTTTAAAGTATATAGGGTAATGGTGTAACCTCTTAATTAAGCTATGAACATCTAGAAAACTGTGTTGTCAAAATGTTTTCATATTCGTATGGCCACAAAAAAAGGATATCATAGTTTCTATGCTATCTAAAGCCTTTGGTAAAACTGCTAAAGCACAAACACCTACTTCTGTGATGTAAAGACTTTGTTAGATTCAGCTCAAATGAAATAATGGTGCGCTGGGAAAAGCCCTTAAAGGAAATATATTTTGTGAAGATGAATATATGAATCATTTAATAATAATAATTTTTCTTATATCTTTATTTGAAGAAGGTAGCACTTGAAGATATATCATCGTAACAAATAACATATCTTATTTTAAGTGTGGCCTTTTGAACAATGAAAACAGAATGAATATTACATAACAAAATATTCAACAACTTAATACACGGTTTAGCAATGATTCCGTGCACTTTCCACTTACTTTGTCCGAAATTCAAATAGTATTCTTTGAAATCGTAATGCTTAATATCATGATATGACCAAACATTCGAAAGATAACAGATGCAACCCGGATCGCGTGCCAAACTATAACTAAATTTGAAATTATCAATTCCATTGACGCATGCATATTATATTATATTTCACACAAATGTACCAAATGAACTTTCAGCGTGTGCCAATACAAATGGATCCTTTCCTAGCATTGTAGAATCGTTTTCATTTTGCCAGTTGATAACATTTCACAAATGTAGTCCATCAAACTTCACTTTTCATCTTCCGAATCCAAAAACGCTACACCAAATCACGATTGTACTCCCTCCAAATCTTGATTTCATTTTCAGAATAAAAAAAAAACAACATTAAATCCTTATGGTACTGTAAGTAACAAAGTTCTGTCAATATGTCAAAGATTTGGTGGTATGAAATAAAAATGCCATTATACATTGTTGAATACTATAAAAGTACACATATGCAAACCTATATTAATTTGGCTAGTAGGGTGACATCTGTGTACTCATCCAAAATAATTCAGTATTGAACACAGCAAAGTGTATCATGATATTGATGATTAAATGATGATTTATTTAAAGGTTCATTTCCGGATTGACTAATCCTGGAAGAAACAGTGGATTTGAATTAGTCTGGACAGCTGTAACTCTAGAGAAATCTGGTAATTATAAAATGTCACAAAAATATACATCAGCTTTTAGCGACATTATTTATTCCTGTACTCATGTATCAATATATAAAATGTTTTAATTTTACAAGATTATACGTATGCATCGTTGGCGAGAGGTTAGTGAAAACTATTGACCCATACTTTACGTATCTTACCTATCGTAAATGGACTAGTCTATATTTTAATATGGATTACTTGTATCATCATTCTTAAGGAAAATCTAAAATATGTACTGACTGAATAGCAAATAGTGCAGACCATCCTCAGATGAGGTGTACCGGTTAATATTGGTCTGCACTGATCTCATCTACCAATGCATTAGATAGGAAAGTCACTGTAATATCGTAGGCCTAGCTAAAATATCGTTGAATTAACCGTTATTCCAGTAGAGTCATTGCCTCCAGTACAGTGTCAGATCAACATTCACATATATGTGCATTCTATAGTTGTAATAGCTCATCATTTGAATTTTGAATGGACTGTAATAAATTCAAAATTGGGTAGTTCCATTGGATAAATTCAGCAGATTAAGGGTTAAAAATGTACTTCAAACACTGACTTTTCTGTAAAAATATATGTGTTTTATATATTTACATTTGTACATAAATGAGTAAGTATGTCTATAGTGATAAATAATTAAATGAAGACTGGAGAAAAAAAACATGTTTTTCTTGTATCACGTTAATTATGTTATATTTTTTTATATTTGTCAGGTGATTGTCAGGGTTTTGAGTGTTCTCGTGTGGGTACAAAACGATGTGATAGGTCGCTAGGACAGGAACTATGCAATGATCAACATTTTTGTATCGACAAGAGTTTGAAATGCAACGAAGTCCCCAACTGTGGGGTGTCAGACGACAGCGATGAAAATAAGTGTTCGTGAATATGCATCTTAAATTTACTTATTTGGTCATTTTCGCCCATTTCTGGCCTCGATGATGTAATGAATCTTTTTTCAGAGCTTTGTCTCAAATCTCTGAATTGCCATTGGTCAGTTTACATTCTTCACCGGCTTCTCACCAGTCAAATACCTAATTAATTGAGGTGATTTTTATCTATCCTTGGAACCAAGGCAAAGGGTTTTACAGTGTTCTCCCTCGGGTTCTGTCTTGGATCTGCCATTAAAATCGGAACCTCTTGATTTTGATTTATATTTGCTAAAAGTTGTCTGTTGATACTTTACTTTTAAGGAACTCGTATTGCAATTATAAATTACAATTAGATCTATTCTAACAAGAAGTTATTATCTAGTTTAATTATGTCATCATATCTGTAAGATTTTAGAAACACCCCGAATCAAACCAATACTAAACAATGGGTGTAAAATTTCTTGCTTAAGGAAACAACGGAAAATAAATTACATTGTTAGTGGTTGAAATCTACTCTCTATTGTCATATCATATAAGATTTCCTTGATATTCCGATGGAGATATTAATATTTTGATAATTGACATGTAAGACAGAGTAAGTTTCAATAAATAATCAATGTCTGAAAAGAAAAGAAAAAAAACTAAGCAATTAAGTCATCTAAATGTAATGGGCTCTTTTTATATGGCAATTTTACCGTCATTATATATTCTTTTATTTATAATTTCAGGCCTCAGTTACATAATGCGATATGTGGGAATAGTAGGTGGATGCTTGATTTTAATAGTTATTATCATAATAGTTGTCTTCTGCTTTTATAAAAGACGCTGCAACAGAGACCGCGTGAAATACAGCGTTCCAAACGAACAATCGCTTACACATTCAATGACGCATTCCTTCATGTCCACACAGAGCTCAAGTGTTCCAGTACGTTCATTGGAGCATAGCCCTAGATCATCTTGTGTAATGTACACTACATCATTTACTGACTGTGGTATCAATGATCACGTGACCACACCCAACCACAATGGTAAAAGTAACAGTGGTTTAAATAGTTTTTCACATTCGAATTCACTGCAGCTACCAGAGCCTAATAAAGATACAGAGGTAGGCGATGATCAAGCAGCAACTTTAGATGACATTAAAGAAACCAGTGCATCATATAAAGGTCATAAGAAACGACCGTCATATCACATGATGAGGGAATTATGTTACGAGGACGGAAATATTGTCCTTGCTGAGATATAATAACATTCACATCAAGCTAAAATAAATCATATTATTAAATTTCTTAAGGCGCAACATTCTGCTTTACTCTGGTAGAATTCAGGCAAAACGATCAATTCATTTTTTGACCTCGTTCTACTTAGCTTATCAGACACCAACGGCACTTCTGTCTTTAGTGATACTAATGTTTTCATTATACAATGTACCAGCCTTTTTCTTTAGATTGTCTATGTACATTATTGCAGACAGAAGATATGATGAAAATGACTTTACATGGATAATTTCTAGAAAAATCTTTCAATATTTTGAGTCTGACATTTTAATTTACAAAAACATTTCAACACCATTTTATGACTATATTTCATGAAATACAAAGTCCACTTAGGATTGGGACATACTGTACAAAGAGTAGGCGTCCGTTTGCCTTTTTCTTAGATATGATTTACATAGATACTATGTCGTATTACATTTAATTAAATATCATTACATTTTTACAATGTTTTACTATGTGTTTTTTTAAACATTGACTTCTGTTATACAAATATGTACAGCAACATAATTTAGGAGACAAATAAGTTGGTTGTTGGGATATTTTCTTGTGAAGTATTACTTTGGAAAAAGCTGATGTAAGCAGGTGATTGTATGTGTAAAATGTATAACTCGTGTTCTTTCAAGGAACAGGTTAGTTTTAAGACCGAACTTTAGCTGAATAAGAATTGTTTTGATATTCATATTTAAGTAACAACATTTTCCCCACTGGCAAATATCGTTGTACGTTTATATGATTGTCAATCACCATGTTTGCATGTACGCTCCCTTGTTTAGGAGTACATGTATTTGACAGTCTGCAGTCGAGTTGATAATTAGTTACCGTGCTGATTCTGCTCTTATATAACAGAAAGTAAACAAAATACATGAAAGTAATGTTTAAATCAAAGCCGTACACGTAAAAGCAGTGTCCTTGATTTTATTCTTTGAAATTGATAATTACACGTACAACAAGTTAATTTACTATTTATCAATTAATAAGTCACTCATTCGTATGTATCTGGTCCGTTTATTGTTAACCCCTGCATTACACGAACCAAAAAATTGCAACGCCTTTGCCACCAGTATAGAGCAAGGTCAGCCTGTATGTCAGCACACTGACCATGTTTTATACTGTTGGCTGACCAACTTCAAAATTCTAATTGCACTTTACCTAAAATTGATAATGAACTGTTTTAAAATAGAAGTTGCACAAATTAATTAAGAAAAAGTCAGGAGGTGAAAGGTTAATAAATGACAGAGTCTCTCGCTGATTATTCCAAACATGCTTGTTATTTCATATCAGTTAGAAATTGACATTGATCATATACATAAAACAGATATGCACCTTTCCATTACCCCTCATGAACTCTACAATTTTCATACATTTTTCCATCTCTGCCGAGGCATCTCCCCTTTTCAAGATTTTGTCAGTTGTTGTTTTAACCCCTTGAAGAAAACAATAGAAAAATCACATATCATCTCTTTTAACCTATCTAATTTCAAATAAAAATATGAAGAGTTCATGTACACATTGGCCCTGCCTTTACCGTACATGACGCCGCAAGGAGATGTATATATGTCTAACTACATGTACATATTTGCGCGTGTTTGAATTCGTACAAATCTCAAAGATACTTGTTCAATGTCATAAGAAAGAAGTAGATCTGAATTTAGTCAGATTTTGACAAGTGAAATTTAAAAATACATGAATCATTAGTTTACGAAGCAGTCAGGGCGTAAATACTGAACCAGTGCGAAAATTGATGATTCCATGGTATACTATACTGACCAATTTTTGAACACCGTATAGGGCATGCTATATTTTTAAAATGCTTAAAATATATGTTAATGTATGTATGCATGTACAAAAGATGTACACGTGTTTGCCCAACTGTTATCATAATATGAAAATACCAGAGATTAATTCAACTTACTTTTAAAAGGGGTATATATATAAAATGTTTATATGCTACAATTGTTAACTTTAAAGTATACTCTGTCTAATTTTCTGTACATGTTAAATACAATAATAAAACTTTGTATTATTCAACTGTGTGACATTGTCTACTTTTTCATGCATAAATTGAATAAAGAACTGCTGACAACATGAATTCGCGATAGTTTTGGAAGACATCATGCATGAGCTATACAATAATTGTTATCAAGTTTATATAGTATACTATTATTCCAGTCACATAGAATCTACTTGACATTGCCACAGTTGCTGCAATTAGTTTTTCTTGACCTTGTCAAAATAAATAAAATCTTTGAGTATAAGGCTGTATTATAACCGATTTTTTGGTGCAGGATTAAATTCATGTTTTAATTTCCTTGTGAACTATTGTACGTACAAAATGAAAAAAAAACAAACATAATTTTAGTTTGAGCCCAGAGTAGAAGGGAAATAACTGTTCGATAACTAGTCTGAAAGAATGACTCTGATTAACTCCCCTGTCCATATAGTAATATAACTTGATTAGATTTCATTCACTAGGACCTGACCTCAGGCTAGGTTTATATATTTTTCAGATAAGGAATTTTCATTGGTCAATGCATATTCTGTCTAATCACATACATATATATACCTATAAACCTTAGTAAAAAGGTGTACATAAATAAATTCCTTAATACATAAGGACAAATATGGCAATGAATTTTACTAATTAGACGAGTTGTAACCACGTTTTTGATCAATAAAAAGAGGTATTCATACACGGACAATTTTAACAATAAAATACGTCCTTTGTGAAACAACTGGTGACAGTACTGCAGTGTACACACTGTAACATAATATAATGTAGCATTAGCACATAACATGTATATTATATCATTTGTAAAAAAGACTTAATCCATTAATTTGAAAACTGACACCATTCGTGCTTGTTTTATATATCTTTGATGACTTAAAATATTTATTGAGCTAACATTTTTTAAACATGTTTATAAATCAAATATCTTATTGGCAATATGCAGGTACCATGTCTTGACTGTTATATTGCATGTACGAATATCCAGTCAATTGACATATTTTCAAATGGTGATAAGGAACCGTTTACTCAAGGCTGCAATTTTCTGTATTATAATTTTAGTTTTTACTAAACATGGGTCTAATGACAACAACTACTAACTTGGTTAGACGCACACATTCCAGGCTGCAGTCCATCCACAGTTAAACCATCAACATCTATTAACATCAACATTATCAGCATCTATATGTACATGTATTCAGTTATGTTTTAAGTCTCAACAACACTGTATATGTCAGATATGGCAACTCCCCAGCATTGCTCGTGGAGGGAGACCTCTAGTATGCGTACCTCTGTGCTAATACTGCTAGAAGCGGTTACCTTAGTACAACCACCATTATTCTGTTATACACAGTTCCTATCAGCTTTTGAAACCCAATATGGTGTGTCGCAAAGATTCAAACCACACAGACACAGAGAAGATTTCTAAGAGAGTATTACTATCAAGTTTTAAGGATATTTGCATTATGTAAGTGTAAGTGAACTAAATGGCAATCATGTATTTTTCTCCTGCTCAGCTCATCAATTTAATAACTTCAGTAACACACCGATGTAAATTTTGGTTTTGACATTTGTATTTACAATTCCAGCATCAGTTTTCAAGCTCGTCAGCTTTATTTGACAAATGAGGTCACTTTAAGTTGTTATTGTTTTATTGAGCTTGTATTTTCTGAAGATGAGACAGTCTATAAGCTAGCTGTTTTGTTGTCTCATTGGTCAACTCACCACTAACAGCTATTGCTTTAAATCATACAGTCACTTAACAGCATGCGAATCTTTATAAAATTTTAGAATATGTATAATTTAGTAAATATAGTTGAGACATTTCTTTTTACGTTTGTATTTAATATACATAAACAACAAAGTTTAAATATGCGTAATTATTACCCACTCCAGACATGTTAAGTCATTTTTTGGTATACATATTTTACCCAAAAATGTTATTCATGAGTTCGTTTGAATATTTTTGCGGGCAATCAACAAGAATGCTTAACTTCAAGAAAAATCACAATTACACTGGGAAAATATAAATGGGTATTTACAAAAAGATAGTTGTTCTTTATTCTAGTAATATAGTGATAAAGTTTTTTCCTTAAAAATAACAACAAAGTAACATAATAAAATTTTCATTAATGCAAGATCTTTAAATATCAATAATGTTGAAATTTTTTAACAACAAATATTGTATATAAGTTTACAAAATGTTCTTTACCTGGTAAATTGGATTCTGTAAAGAAAGATTGTATAAGTTTGCTTAATGCTCTTACCGTAAATTGGATATTTGGTAAAAACTAGATGATACTGTGGTAATGTATGATTGAGTCATAATTTTCATCTTTGACCTTTATAATAAATTCCTGACCTTGTAGCCAAGGTGAGAAGTCTTGAAAAGATATAGATTTCTATACATTGTTTCATTTAAGTATGTACATTTATATATTGTATTTAACTCAAAGTTCCAACACTAAATGCGCAGTTATAACATTAAGTCAACACAAACTAAGAAATTCCAAGTTTAAGCTTGACCTTGATCCTAAACCACAGTCTCCCTCAATAGAAAATTCTTAGTTTGGTCCTTAATATTTTGCTTTACTGAATAAAAGAATGCTCTGAAAAACAGATTCCATCATCTGCTAGAACAAAAAGTGATTAGCCTGCACATCCATGCAGTCAGAAAAGGCTGGGGTCAGTTGAGAACTCAATTTTATACCCCTAAATATTAAATGGACTAATCCAAAAAAATTAAAAGCCAGCCAAAATTTGTTAATGGTGTATTTAGATATGTGTATTATGTAATAATAAATCAATCTATAGCAACAGATTAATTCAAAATGAAACTTTTATACTTTCAAACAATGTGGATTTAATTCCTAAAATAATATTATTAGTTAAAAGTTACTCTTGTTTCACGAGATAAGTTTCATAGCTCACCCTATAACTATAGAACAGTGTTTTTGCAACTTTTTGTATGGTTATTGTGAATATTTCTTATTGCCAATTTGCCACTGGATTTCATAGTAACAATTTATCATTTTCTCTATGATAAATCAATCTTAAGATTTCTTGTCATAACACAGCTACAATATAAAGACAGACAAAAAAATATTCACTAAATATTTACATACAGTGTCAATCTTCAAACCATTCTTTCTCTCAAAAAACACACAGAAAAATAAAAAGTTAAAAATATTTAATTACAATCCCTGATTTTAAGTTAATAAAGGCGTCAATACATGTTATTTGATTTTTAATAGTTTAATTATATATGACAATGAATAAAAATCACAGGATGTGAAATAGGTAAATCATTAAAATGATTTTTATTCTGCATTTAATGTATTGTAACATTTTATTAAAAGAAATATTGCAAGCAAATCTTTTTAAGGTTATACTACACTAATTTCAGGTTAGACTACAAAAATTTCTTCCAACATTTTATACATTAAAAAAAGCTAAATGTTGAGCAAGCAAATTCATAAGGACTGTTTTAAACCCTTTTAATGTCTGTATACAACTTAATATTATTCTTATATATTTCACTGGCAAATACTGGGTACATACTAATTCTATTTATATTGAAATTCTGCAATCAAAAGGATTAAGAAATATATATATGATGTGTACAACAGGGTGAAGGATAATCAATCCTTATAATTAGTAGTCATCCTCAATATGAAAAATCAGCTGCCATATGAAATCATGGTGCAATTTGTAACCACAGAACTAATATTTACACAACAAAACATGAAATCACATAATGATAACTTTAATATCATAATGATAGTCTAAATATAAATTTTTCAGATTGTAAACCACACCGGAAACATGACATCACAATGGATAATGCACGGAATCAAGAATTGGCTATATATCACCTAAAGCCATCAGTAACATGATATAACAATATAGATATTAACTTAAGGCCATCAACTGTGTAAATTATTTTTGCACAACCAACTACCCATTACAAGAAATAACAACATTGATAACAAGTTTAATAACATGATATTGTAATCATAAGATTATAATAACAACGACAACATTTTCTTTCCATAAAGAAATCTACAGTCAAACTTGTTTTGAAGATCACTCCTAAAAAACACCATGACTGAATAAAACAAAGAGTAAAAGCTGTGATTACCTTACATCTGATATTATACCCTCTGACATTAACTCAAGACAACAATGATTCTAAATAAAGATCTAGTGGTCTCTGTAGTGTTTACATGGCTTTATTTTGAATTGACCTGTTGACTACTTGACCACATATCACCAATTGATAGATCCCTATTCTAACCTTTAATTTGAATAACAACAGATTTAGCAACAAACATGGACATGTGCTCTTTTGTTAACATATATGCTGTGGTAAAATTCTTTTTGTATCCACTAATCTGATAATTAGAATTAGACAGGTCAGGGATCTATGTACATATGAATAAATCAATCATTTTGACAAAGTTAAAGATCAATAGAAACTGTGTTGTTTATGTATAGAGTGGTAACAACCACACTGTGTGAACAATGGACAAACAACAGATCCTAATAGCTTAACCTAATGAGTGCTATGTGCTCCGGTGGTTAGCAAAAAAATCTTCTTATAGTCAGAAATTTGCAAACTAACCTGCTTTAAGAAAGAAACCGTTAACAAAGATTGTGCATGTATTATTTTTGTACAAAGACCTGAATGAAAATGCAATCATCTTAGTACTAATATGACATGCTTTTGTAATGAACTGTACCTAGAAGGTACATACAGGTGACTTCCATTTTTAATATTGATACATCTTATCTATTACATAATACACACTTTTATTTCATATTTCACATAAAGGATCGGTAATTAGAAGGTTGTTGGTACATAAATTTTGAAATATTCTAAATTCAATCAAGGAAGGAGAAAATCTGCAATCAACTCTGTTTTTGTTTTAAAAATGAAAATAAAGCAATAAATAAGGTAACAACAAAGTAACAATACATTAACTTTGACAGCAGTCATTATAAACGAGCCAATCTTCAGTGAAAGCTTTTGTTATGAATAATGAAAATACTATATATATCATATATAGAGAATCAATATTACTGTAAAAATGTCATTTGTAGTAATCTGATCCTGCCAGCAGGTCGCCATTGTTCACATATTATAATACATGATTGTCTATGAAAAACTTAAAATCGAGGATCCAAACAACAGGCAAATAAAAATATGATAGAATTAAAAGCAAATAATTTAACAATAACTGCAGGAGCAATAGTAATGATGAATAAAGCTACTTTAAACATAAATTGTTGTAAAGATTTAAAATTAAAGCAGGATAAGCATTTAAATCACCTAGTTTCATTAAGTGTATATAAATAAACAAGTGATGTATTTTTTTTCTAATGACATTTTATTCAAATAAGATAAAAACTACTATGTGTGTTATAGCAACTTTCACTGCAACTGGTTTGCTTCAAGCCTTCAACATGTAGGTAACTGAATGATTTAATTATTTATTTTGTTAAAGCTTTAGTTATTCATCTATGAATGCATAAGTATTTAACAGATATATTACAGTTAATTTATGTAATGCACAATGTCTAACAAACATTATCTGCACAATGTCTAACAAACATTATCAAAGACCAAACAAAATAAGTATTTCCACGCTAAATATCTTAAATGGACTTGTCCATCTTTTAATCTGGGCAAAACCATTCAACATTTTTAGAGAAAAATTTTAAACAAATTATAATAGCAAACAGTGTAGACCATCATCAGATGGAACTCAGATATGTAAAAAATTGTCACTATAATTATGTGCAAATAAACTGCTGTCATATGAAAAATAGATACAAATATTTTCACAAACACATGATATCTTTTCAATCAAACATCATTTAAGTATACTATGATTAATACATTGACATAAATGTATGATATTCATAAACATAGCTTTGTCCCATTATAATTTAAAGAAAAATGGTATACATCTTGTAAAAAATGTTATAACATGCATGTCATGGTTTGAAATGAGTTGGTCCCGACATATAATATACATATAGTATAATATTGATAACTAAAAAAATATTACTGGGTCTGAGGTCATGAAGAAATTTAACAGAATAAAATTCAAATCCTATGAATCTGATTGGTCAGCAACTACCACAGACTGTACACTGGCCAATGAAAATCCTGAAGTTTGAGATACCATTTAGATAAAGGTTTTATAATTTTGAGGCAAGTCGACACTTCACTAAAGCTTCATGTGCTACATTTTACCTAAAACTATTTGAAAATTTGGACCTCAATGCAAAAATATGAAATTGTTGTACTTTGTATGATGCAATGTTATCTTTGTTTGTAGAGCTCTGTCCTGGTTTATTATCTGTGAAAATATGCCTTAAGTTGAGTGAATAAGTTCATTTTCACATCACATAAAAGTGGAAGATCAAATTTTTATGCTATATATGAAGTGAACGACCTAGTTCAGTTTAAAACAAGTCCAAACAGGACGATTCAAAGTAATGAATGACTTAAAGGGACTTTACTGAGGCTCATAAAATTTGATAATCTTACAATAATAAAATGGAAAGAGATGAAGGAGAACATACTTAGAATAAAGTTGAAAATCAATACTAAGTGTAAGTCTTAGCCTGCCTTGAGTTAGAACTGTTAAAACAATTTATAACAATTATTCTGCAGAAGTGAGAAAGTTATCTGAAATTTTAGATTAGAGCTACATCAAATAGTATAAAAATCTCGAAAAAAAATATTTCCAGTCCTATTATGTCAAAAAACATCAGTATAGTCCTTTCAAGTTCAGCTTTTTTCTTCTGTTTTACACATGACACCAGAGGAAGGCCTATTACAATGTAAAGCATCAGATTTCTTGAACACAAGTCATCACAAAAATGTCATATGTAGAAGGCACTAAATTACATTGGAATTTTCTGCATGATAACTGTAAAATTTTTGATAACACAAGTTCTTTCATTAACAGAATTTAATTCTAAACTAGAAATGTGTCCATAGGACACGGGTGCCCCCACCGCGCCACTGTTCTGTCAATCTTTATACTAAGTCAAGGGAAATACCTCTACAAATACTGGATAAATCCACAAGCGAAACCCCAGGTGCATATCTAAATATGCTGAGCAACCTGCCCATAAGGTTTAATGACTATGTCAAATCCTTTTTGAGTAACTTGCGACACAAGTTGAAAATTGCAAAAATTTTCTAAGTGAAGGGCAATAACTCTAAAAATACTAAATAAATCCAGGCGAAAATACCTGGTGCACAACTGCACATGCTGATCAATATTCCTGTAAAGTTACATGACTCTAGGTCAAATACTTTTTGAGTTACGTGCGACACATGTTGAAAATTGCAAAATTTTACTAAGTCAAGGGCAATAACTCCAAAAATACTAAAAATATCCACACGAAAATACCCAGGTGCACAACTTCACATGCTGATCAACATTCCTGTAAAGTTTCATGACTCTAGGTCAAATACTTTTTGAGTTACGTGCGACACAAGTTGAAAATTGCAAAATTTTACTAAGTCAAGGGCAATAACTCCAAAAATACTACAAATATCCACATGAAAATACCCAGGTGCACAACTACACATGCTGATCAACATTCCTGTAAAGTTTCATGACTCTAGGTCAAATACTTTTTGAGTTACATGAGACACAAGTTGAAAATTGCAAAATTTTACTAAGTCAAGGGCAATAACTCTGAAAATACTAAAAATATCCAGATGAAAATACCCAGGTGCACAACTACACATGCTGATCAACATTCCTGTAAAGTTTCATGACTCTAGGTCAAATACTTTTTGAGTTACGTGTGACACAAGTTGAAAATTGCAAAATTTTACTAAGTCAAGGGCAATAACTCTGAAAATACTAAAAATATCCACACGAAAATACCCAGGTGCACAACAACACATGCTGATCAACATTCCTGTAAAGTTTCATGACTCTAGGTCAAATACTTTTTGAGTTATGTGCGACACAAAAGTGAACGGACGGACGGAAGGACGGACGGAAGGACGGACGGACGGACAAGGGTAAATCTAAATGCCCGCCACTAACTAGGGGGCACAAAAAGAAAGAAAAATGCAAAAAATATTTACCACAACTTTAATTACTTCACTAAAATAAAAATAAACTTAATTTCACCACTTATGCCTGCAAACTTATTAATATGAACTTACTTATATTGCCTCCAGATATAAAAAAAAATCAAACTTTTAAAAAGCATGTTTATAAGAACTGTATCAATATTCCTAACTTTGCAGAAACATTAAATGTATAATGCAAAATAAGATAAAACAAATTTATTATCATCAAAACTTTGTACTGTTACTAATGGAGTCAGTATATGGAGTATTTCTGAATATTTGACCAGTTATAGGCAATTTTCAAAACACTAGAATCTAGAATAATTTATAAGTTATCATAAAAATTAACCCATAACAGTGGCAGTGCTACTTTAAAGCACTAATGTATCTATAAACTATAATCACTCTTAATGAATTCTTAATAATCACTAAATTCTTACATGTAAGATAGAATGATACAAACTGTCGAAATGTTTGACTATGAATTAACAATGTGATCTAAATGACAAGACACAGGCACTTGACTCTATATTATATTATTACAAGGATAACTAAATAAAAATTTTATATGTTAAGATATGCTATTTTTATTATTCTCCCTGGATATATTGGTAAATTTTCTTGTCACCAGTTCAGAATTTATCTGGGCAGAGTGTTGGAAACGCTGGAGCCACTTCTTGAACCATGTCAAACTTGCTCATTTCTTGGTACTCTTTAAAATAGGCATCCGATGCTAGACGACAAAACATCAAAATGTCAATAAATTTAGAAAATCTTTTCTGTGCTTCCTGGCCATAATTTATACGTAAAATTTTCATGAGAAGCTCAGTCAAATCTGAATGAATTTTTTCCACTAATGTCGGATTTTCCAGGTCTAAGCGATCTGAACAAACTAGTGACATTGCACACAAAAGTGTTTTTTCTTCCTTCATTAGACAAGCCTTTTGCCAGCGTTGAAAAATCTTCGCCTGAATTTCTATCAATTCCCGGGAAAAAATCTTATCGGATGCTTCCTCAATATGAGCTGGAAGTCCATTCATTTCCAGATAGATCTGTTTCTCATGATCATACCCCTCGTGCATTAGAATAACAAAAAATTCACAGTGACCTACTTTCAATAATGATTCCTGATCTTTTACACTGATTGTCTGAAAGCCAGGAATTTTATATGCAAACTTACAATACCTCTCAACAATATGAGCGCAGTTATTTGCTTCTTGCTTAAACAAGCTCCAACGGCCATCTAAATCAATATTATACAGCTTCAGAAGCGTGAAATACTCCTCCTTTGGTATTGCTTTCAATGGTCCAATCAATTTGACTTTGGCAAGGTAGCGGTCATAATGTTCATCAATAATTTGTTTTCTACCCTCTGCAGTCTTTCCTCTTTCACCAAAATGTTCAATAGCATCCATTGCTACTGTTAAAGTTTCCAACAATTCTTTCTCTTCTTCAGTTAAACTTTCTGTTAAACTTTCTTTTTCACTGTTTTGACCCAATTCATTCATTGAAATTTTTGCATTGGTTTCATTTACTTTCAGTGACAAATCTTCGACTTCAAATTCTGCTTCATTTTTAACATCAACATCATCCATATGCAATTTTCCCTCTAGTTTTTTAACTTCCCTGATTGTCTCTGTACGCTGGGAATGTGTATAGCGTCCAATTTTAGACTTCTCCTTGGACATACCAACTTCCAAACATTTCTTCAACCTGCAACCTGAGCAGTTACCTCTACTTTTATTACCAATGGTACAGTTATTGTTTTTCTTACAGCAGAACCCACCACTACGCAAAAGGTAGCGACGGAAAAAGTTTTTACAAGCTTCACATGTATAACATCCGTAATGAAGTCCTGAGGATTTACCTGAACATACTGCACATGGAGGATACTTTAAGGCATTTTGTTTCCAATCTTTTACCGGTGTTCCTGAGCTAGAAGCTTGCTCTCCATCTGCTACAGATGTGTCTGACGAGATCACCTGAGACCAAAAACCGGCATTAGAATCAGAAGGCTCATCTAAACTTTCAGATAAATTTCCATTTGATTGAGAATCAAGCAATGTCAAGGATGCCAAGTTATTTGTCTGACTGTCAGATTGTGACTGCGGTGATGAATCAGAACTTGAACCAACACAATCTGTCGGAAATTCTGGAGAAGCATTTACACCATTTTCATTGGCTTCAATGACATCAAGTGATTGTAGGATATCTAAATCATGAACAAATGTTTCAGCATTTCTGTTGTTTGTATAACCAATCAAAGTTGTTTTATTTTCAATATCTGTTCCTTTACCTGGTGATGGAATACTAAATGGATTCAAGTGTTGCTGAAAGGTTTCTATGTCCAGGTTATCAAGTCCTAAATCTCCTTCTGCAGACATTTTGATTGTCATGTAATTTTACTATCAATACTGAAAATTAACAAAAAATAATCAAACTATTTACAACAATCTTAATAATTTTTAGTTTCTGTTCATTTAATACATCTCACAGGATTTAGCAATTTTAAGAATTATAATTTTAAATGTAAATGTATTTCATCAATTTCAAGTCATAGTCACATATAATTTCTATTTACAAAATAAATCTTTATCTTATATACAAATTGATATAAACTGTAAATTAAACAATATCAGTGATGGTGCTAGCATTTCTATTATTATTAATATTAAATTCATTTTAACAATTATGAGTTCACACACATTAAAAGTAGAACAAGAACTACCAAGCAGACATTTTCACAGCATCTTTATTCATTCTCAGGACTTGATTATAAATCTATAATGCTTCACAATCTTCTCCTATTAAAGAAATAGGACAGACAAGTGAATTATTATATACATGTAATATATGCACTGCACATCAGATGTGACATCAATAAACCAAAATTGATGATGACTGGAAAATAATCTCTCTGCTCAATGTAGTTAAACATATTTATCAATCATCAATTCTCTTTTTATTAGCATGACAGAGTGGAAATAATTATATTAATTTTTCTTGCATTGTAATATAACAATGGAGATTATTCTAATGCTTTGTAATTAATTAATCAGTCAGGGCTTCTGGCCTTCATGAATGTATTCCTGCACAATTTTGAACCAGAACGGTGCTCATTCCATGCATTATCATTCAAAATTGATATCTAATTCCCACACATCAGCTAAAGGATAATTCAGTATTTTCTAAGATCACAGAGAGGAAATTTTCAATTAAGAATTTTTTAAGAATTTGTGCTCTAGATTTCTAGGTCTTTGAAAGTGACTTCATTATTAATACAGTTCAGCTTCATGTGTATGGCGAAGTTTCAAGTGAATACCTCCACTAGTTGTGAGATAGGGTTATAATTCATTAAAAATTCATGCTAGAGGTATGACTCTCAGTGATCAAAGAACATAATATGAAGTATCAAATGTAAACCTTCATTGGATAATGAGATATGATGTTACACAATATAACAATAATCAAGCATAATAATGGCAATGCAGAGGCTTCAGTAAATAGCTAGGATAGCCTCAATATTCTTCAAATACAATGTAGTGCTAATTATTCATTAGATCTTAAGTACTCATCTTTCATATTATTTATTAATTAATCTCACAGGAACTGGAATATTTTCTCACATTTAGCATATAGTAAACTGATACAATCAGTTTGTATATATTGTCATCGGGAGAAACAAAGCTGGTATATTTTACTCCCCACATTTATTTATCTGGAATATGCTGATTTTAACATATTTTTAAATCATATATCCTGCACAATGCAGTCAGTCCACCTGACAGGTTTTCTTGGATATATACAACTAAACTGCATACATAAATTTCTCCACAAGAGACCAACTGCTAATCAAACCAATATGATCTCTGACTCTGCAGGTGTAAGTCACAAATGACCATTCAACCTTATGTATGACATTGGCACATAGAAATGTCATTAATTTTTTTTTCAACCTACCATTGGTCTGAGGTCAATTGACATGAAGTTCAGTAAATTAACAATGATTTCTTTTCTAGAATGATTTAATAACAAATCTTCTAAATTTTACTTCATTATTTTGCCTTTTGTTTATGAGAAAACATTGTTATCATGTTATTAAGTAATTATTTCATCCATTATAGACATGTACATTAGCATTTGAGATGAGAAAAAGTTCACTCAAAGCAACATACTAATGTCTACCTTAACTTTGCCAATATTTTGACATCTGCTATATATTAGGTCTTGTAAGTCAATTCTTACATTGTAAGTTATTGTATCAAAATTTTGTAATTAAATCTCAGCCTTTTTGAAACAGGTACCCATGTATCTAGTGCAGACCAAGATCAGCCAGCACCTCTGTCCCTTCTGATAATGATAAGCATACTATTTTCTATTTTGTCACTAATTATGTTTAACTTTCTCCCTTTTAAAGGTGAATGGTTGTGTTGTTATCATTAGTGTCCATGCTCATTTATCGTGACAGGAAGGACTAAGTGCAAGTTCAAATTGTCATAAAACCTTAAAACCCTTAATTAGGCGGGATTTAAATTGATTAATATAGAAAATATTCAGCTGATCTATGTTAAAATTTCACATAATATATGTTTAGGCCTTTTGAGTATCAGTGGAGCTCCTTTAAATCCCCATTAGTTCCTATAAAGCCTTCAAATAAAGACAACTAAAGGCTATGAAGACTAAAGTAACCTTAAAGTATTAACAATCCTTTATTGCTTTATTTGCTTTATTACAAATTGACCAATAGCTGGATTTAAACAAACAAAGTCTGAATTATAAATGCAATATGACCTGTACAAGTCAATATTGACATTGACAAGTCACAAAACAGAACAACTACCTGTTTTTTGGGCAAACAAAATGGCTCCACTATTGTTTTAAAGGTAATAATACAAGTTAAGCCAATATTAAATTTCAAGCCTCAAAAATGCTTTTATTTTTATTTTCAAAGCTTTTTATTTTTGATGTCCCAAGTGCTGTAGTTTTCAAAATGCTCCTTATTAACTAATTAATGGAACCATTGTTTGCTTCTGTTGCCTTTTGTCATAGTGGTTTAGTGTTTTGAACCAATGTTAAAATACTATTGTTTATATTTTGCTTCTTTAATGACACATTATTTTACATTCAGCACTACTTTCTTCAGGTGACTAGCATCCAACAATCACTAAAACCATTACTGAATTGTTTCAAAACTCATGCTTACCATTTACAAAAAATGAACAATTTATTTGTTTCTCAGAAATAAATGTGGCTTTAAATATGAATTCAAGCATTATTATAATGCAGCTTTCAGAGTAAAAGATTTAACAGAATATTCAAGCAAAACTCTTACCAGTTAGTTTAGCTTCTCATTAAAGGAAATGATGACTCTGCATATCAAATTATGCCTATTATCTTGTAGCCATTTAGTTTCCTGAAAATGAAAATAATAACATTCAATATTTATAACAAAGTAAATTGGGAAGTCAGCAAAATAATGCATGTATGCATGAACAGTGTATGTACTGCTCAATGTAAATTAACAACTATAGCCAGAATGATATACAAGAAATAATTGTATAATATTTATATTAATTTATATAATTATGTAAGCATGAATCAGATCAGATGAACAAAATAGCTAATCTACAGAGATGTTGATAAGTGTCCTAACCAGCTATTAAATTTATTTAAAATCATATAAAATTTGAGCATCATGTTAAGAATATTGGATGACAATAAAAAACATATTATTCATTAAGAACTTTTTGAATAAAATTACATATAAATATAACACACAATTTCACACACACCTGGACAAATAAATAAGAATAAAATTGAAGAAAAATCCATCCTAAAATCATCACTTACTGATATACATTAATAATACGGTATTCACCAAAAATATTATTATATTCACCAGAACAATATACATGTACGTACATCTAGCATTATGTTTCACTATTGGGTAGTATTTTTTCACCATGGTTACCTAATGACAACAAAACGATGGAACAAATCAATAAATAACATAGTCAATAGCACTCTTTGATTTATCCTCCCCCCACACATTGTCATAACAAACATGTAAACAATTGTAAGCTGATGACACTTTACTGTGAAGATTGTGCAACCTGACAATACTTTTTAACAATTGGCTGTTTAACTAATGAAATTCAGAAACTGAAATCTTGTCATGTTCCTATTTTCTCGAGAAGCAGGAAAAATCCAATACATATACATAAATATATCTGATTTAACAGTAAAGTCCAAGTATTTTTTGTATAATATTAGTAGATACTGTCTGACAAAGGTCATTATGCCTTAAGGGAAAGACCTATAGATTCAGCTAACTTATCTTAAATAAATGTTAACAAAAAAACATCACAATCTAAGGTTCAAATCTATCAGAAATAACAATATAAAGTTAAATGTTGTAACAATCACTGACAGAATCGTTAATGTATGACTCTATATACATTAATTCAGTTTAGATTTTTGGTTGTACCTTGGGTTTGCCTTAAGTTCCCGAGTATCCCTATTTTGCTTTATGCAACTTACATTGATCAAATAAGCTTACTTCAAACCACTTGCCCCTCACCGCTGTGGGTTCGAGTCCCGACAGGGACTTTGGATTCTTTCATGTGAGGAAGCTATCCAGCTAGCTTACGGAACGTCGGTGGTTCTACTCAGGTGCCCGTTCGTGCCTGAAATAATGCACGGAAGGGCACCTGAGGTCTTCCTCCACCAGTAAAGCTGGAGCGTCGCGATATGACCTATACTGTGTCGATGTGACGTAAAACCCAAAACAAAACAAAAACAAACAAACAAATAAGCTTAAGTAATATAGTTGATAATTAACAAAATATAAAAACTTGCTCATTAGCAATTACAACAAGAGCTGGCAAAACGCTTCATACAGTTACCTCCTCCAATTTCATATTTTTATTAAAATTGTGCCACTTACAAATTGTAATTAATCAATTTTTACTTGCACAATCATCAAAAAAAAAAAACAACACTTATTGTGATACAAATTTTGCTACTAATACGTCTTTTTTCAGGTATTAACATATTAAATTATTAAATGTCAGATTATAAAGTGAAGTTCTTTATTGATAACCTACTTATAATCTGCCTTTATACCTTTCAACTTGTTTACAACAAATACTAATTTTTCGTATTTGGTATTGAGGTTAATAAGTCAAAAATCACACTCAGTGACGTTCATATGAAGAATTTCAAGCTTTGCCAGTTAATGAAGACATACAAAACCTAAGTCCTGTCATATTGCCTGATTTCTGCCATTCTGTGTCCTCGCCCTTCAAAAGTCAAAGGCAAAGACACGAAGGCACATTAATATGCTGACTAATCGTGTCTTCGACTTGGTGCCAACAGGAAGACACAAATATATTTTAGGCAAAATAACTATGTTTTTATAGGTCTAGACACAAGATCTTTTTTTTGTAAAATTATCGTGTCAGTGGGTAGAAATCTTTGTATTGCTGCCTTTATTTGTTGTGTTGTTGTGTCTTCGCCTGAAAATTCGATACTAAGGTGGTGCCAGAGTAGAAACATTAATCCTTCATAAGCTAGCTTGATAACTATCTTAAATGCTATATGGTAATTCAAAGCAATCACCCACAGAGGTGATGGGCTAAAGTCCACGAAGTCAGCAACTTTACACTATAGGTCATAGGTCTGAATAAAATTTCCTCACTGTATTTTTTCTTGCATGTTAACTACATTGTACATTATAGGCTAGCCATGAACTCATATTCATCATTAGATCTTTTAATTGCTTTTCTCAAAACTGGTAAAATGATTGTGTCAAGCTGGAGGAAGAAAATGAAAAAGTAATTTTAAATAAACAATTGATATAATCATATCTTAAATCTATAAAGTCTAACATTGTTATATTTTTTATCTTTCTTTTTCAACTGGTTAACACCTTATACAGTCCAATTCTTTTAACCTTTCACTTTGCTATACAGTAAGAGGTCAGCCTTTGCAACGATGTAGCCACACCTTATTTTTCATGGAGGCAAATAAGGAGGGTCCGGGCATACTCCCCCAGAATTTTTTTTTATCTAGAACGTCTCTAGTGTGTTTTGGAGCACTCTGGGACAAGCTTTTTATCACTCTGAATCTAACCAGCTTTATATCATTTTACTAAATTTTACATTTATATCTTGGAAAACTAACAAGAAAACAAATTTATGTTCTTTACAAGATTTGAAATGCATTTTGTTTAATCTATCTATTAGCTCAGATTCACAGTTTCATGAAAAGGTCAAGGCAGTTCTTCGGTTTCCAGGAGATTCCCATATTACTTTAAGATCTCATTATTGCCAAGTGACATTTGTTTATGAATATGTATCAAAGCTAGGCCATTTAATCAACCATCCTTCATAGATGATCTAGTACTTTCACAAGAACATGACCCAACAGGTAAACTTAGTATTAACTGAAAAATCATGTGAATGTTTGGATAATACGCTTTATCACTGTTCACATACCCCTGCCGCTTTTTGCGACTCCATAAAAATAGTATTGCACGGTCATGGATATATTTTGACATGACATCATTCGCTTGATACAAACAGAGCGTAATGATGCGCTAAACTATCGGTGCGTCAAAAAAATAGGATTATTTTCATTGTAAATAATTCTTATGTTGGTTATGCGATAAATGTAATATTATATTTGTGTAGATTCATTACTTAATTTATTAAACTTGATGAATACAACAATATTATGAGCATAATTTAATTTTATACAACACGTTCAATTTGAATTCAGTATTGAATCTACACTCATTCAATAGCCTTTATTTATCACATATTTCAAAACCTTCTGGGAGGGACATTGGATTTTTTAACATTTCTATATAAATTTTTCCATCTTATGAGCTCTGTTTTGTAATGACTCTAATAGTGCTGTTTCTAAGCTAATGAGATCATTCTCGCCGGGTTATTATAGTGAAGTAATCAAGTCAAAGTTTAATTGTTTACAAGAATAGGCGTAATGTGACGGACTTATAATGCTTTTATGCGTGCCAACATGCAGCACTTGGGTTTGGTAGGTAGTGATCAACTCCACTTTGGAACAACAAGCATTACTTGTTTCATTCTGCTTTAACTTATATTGAAGGCTTTTCTTTTCTTTTCTTTACTATTATTTACAAGTATAATATTTAACTACTCAAATTTTAACGGAGGTAACTGCCTCGGTTTGCCTCAGTGTGGCTATGGCGCTGCTTTGCACCCGAGTATTGAGTCTGGCAAACCTGAATATCAGTGCAGTCTTCCCAAGCCCTATGCTGCTACTGCTTTTCAACTTGAAATCAAATAAACAATAAATGCTGAACAAGTCTATTTAAGAAATTCGGAAGGCATAATTATATACATGAATAAAAATAAAAAAATTACATCAGAGTTATAATCTTTAACTGACTTTGACCTGTACTAACCTAGTCACCTTAAACCACAATAATAAATAGTGATAAAGTAATGAGATCAAGGTCACAACTATAGATAAAATGACATATGCACAGGATGACTCAAAAATACATTCAGATAAAATGTACATCATGTGTGGATTACTTAAAGCTTGATAGTCATTAATGTCACATATGAATCTATTCTTTACAAAATAATAAAGTGTTGTTTTTTATTTTTATTTTTCACCCAAATTATTCCTCTTCATAGGAGGGTAAACTGACCCTTACCATCCTAAATATCTGAAACCATTGATCATTTTAAGGAAAGATTTCAAAATAAGTATTAATTGAATTGTGATTGTGATGCGACAGCATGGGTGAACCATCTGAAAATGTTCAGGATGGGTGAATTTAGTCACTGTTATATAGCTAACCTGGACATGCAGGCAAAATACTTTACAAGGCAATATTTATTTCAAGATTGTTAAATTGATAAAGGCAAAAAACAACCTAAAAAAATACAACAAATGTCTGCTCAAATGTAAAAAGAATTTAAGCCATTTCATTCATTTAATATTTCACATTTTGACTCACATTTCTTTGTCTAAATATAGAAATGAACATATCATGGTACATGTATAAATTATGTTAAAATTGTTAATTTAAAATCTTTAAAGGATCTCCATTGAAGTCCAAAAGCCTAAAAACATAAACTTTGAATTTACAGCTGGATATTTCCTGTAATAGACTGAAGCAACTCCATTATCGTGTAATGATAATCTTCATTTGTATCATTTATAAATTAGTGTAGTCTTTTTTCAATGTTGCAAAGTTAATATAGCATTATATACTGCTGCACAAAGATCACCAAAGATCATTGACATTCATTTAACACTGCCTGGCATCCCTGAAAACATTAACAACTATGGCACAAACATTAAGGCATCATTATAGCATTTGATGGAAATATTGCAACCACAAATTTAGTGACCACATAAAGTGCATGCTTTATTATGAAAACTGGACTAATAACTATAATAACTGTTAAATCAGATAATTAATTCTGCAACTTAAAAAAGTCTGCCATAAATTACTGTGAATTACAGGCTGCATGACATGAAAATATCTCTACCACCCTCAATAGATAAACAGATGTATCTAGGTTTATAGATCATTTAACCATTTCCTATTACCCATACTGAGCCAGATTTAGGTGTAACTGCTGAAGAGGAAAGCAAGGATCATGAAAGATATAAACAAGTACATTAAGTTGTTTTCCACTCCTTAACAATTAACACATATCTATTTATAGCTTCCACTTCAGAAATCTATCCAAGTATAAAGAAAGTCTATATTTAAAGCAAAAAGAATATTATTTCTTAACAATACACGTTCAATCTTAATCTTTTACTCCGATATTGATTATTATCAATAAAACTGGCTTCCAATCAAAACTATTTTTATTTTTAAACATTATGTGGATTATCAACAAAACATACCTGCCCGCTGGAATATCCATTTTAGTTTTAGTGTTACACACACTATCATTGATAAAACTGTGACGTTTACAGTAGTAACATGGTTTACATTACAAACATTGCAAAATCAAAGCATGTGACCATTTGTAATCATTTCACAATACTTAAAACAAAATAAATAAATGATAGCCTTAATGCAGGTATACCTAATAAAATACTTCACGGTCACTGTCACCGTCACTGTTCTATGTTTTACTTCACATGGTTTATTGATAAGATCGGTCAATATCAGTTAACCATGAAAACTTAATAGCGTATAGAAAAGGACGTATACTGTTTACAATGACGTAGCATAGTATATTTTCACACACAGTAATTTGCATATTAAAGGAACAAGTTTGGTATACTATAATAGGGTAAGGCCACCTGGCTGTTAAAATTCTTTTCGTTAACAATAAGTTATATTGACATAAAATTACACAGTTCATAGCAATTTTAAGTACTTTTTTGATATGTCTACTTTATTCTTAAAAACTTTATATAAATAATAAAGCAGGCAATATTAATAGTAAAAACTGTTTTGTTCCATATAATTTTTAAGTTTTGTTCCATATATTACAAACAAAACTCTTATACTATTACAAAAGAATGTTGGAAATTAAATGATAATTTACAGTCCAATTTCATTCATTTCCTATACCTATATCCCCAATGACTATAAAAATTCATTATTTGGCTAAACAATTCTTTCCACAATTCACCTATTTCACGACTTCAAGATGCACTGTCCTGTTCCCACCAAAAAAAATGGTGGTAATTTAAACAATTTTTGTGCATTTTGTGACTATCTAGAGGCTATATTGACAACATAATTGGTAATGATTTCAAACTCTTTTTGTTAATTTTAAAATAGGTAAAATGAACAAGTACGTTACATATACTGTACCATAGAACTTTTTTATATTTATAATCAATTTTTTGCAGAAAAAAATTGTCATTTTGCGACTTTCAAACTGATGTTATAGCAACAAATCTCCCGTATTCAGAAAATTTTAAATAATAAAAAAACGCTAGAAACGTCAAAAACTAAAGCAAGCGTTTGTTTTAATTGAACTGATTATAGGTCCTGTTTGGGTACAGAGCCTTGCTTTCTTTAGACTAGAAATGTGTCATCATGCCACGGATGCCCCCGCATGCAGCCAAAATTTCAGATGTTATAATATTTAGTTCCAAATTTGTTTGCACAAATTATTGTTTTCATTTAAAGTTCAAAGCCCTTAAAACTTTTCAATGTTAACACAACCATTTCCATACAATGTTCAAGGCACTGAAATTATTCAGTCTTAACCTTTTGAAAATAGCATATTTCATATTTGTAGCCAAAATAATGGCTACATACATTTCCACAAAAGTATGAGTGCTGAAACTGAAAGTTCAAAATTTTTTCCAATATTCAAGAAAGATAAGTTTGTCCACAATCATTGAACCACGACCAAATTCAAACTTAAACTGCCTATTCCTAAGATGTATCTATATTATTTTCAAAGTGAAAGGGACATAACTCTGCCAAAAAATCATCGAACCATGACCAAATTCCAACTTGACCTGCCCATTCCTTTGACATATCCATATGTCAAATTTGAGTTGAATATGTAACACTGTTGGGTAGATAATGAACAGAAACTGTAAATTTCATATTTTTTTCAAAGTGAAAAGGGCATTACTCTGTCAAAAATTATTGAACCATGACCAAATTCGAACTTGACCTTGGCATTCCAAAAAAAATATCCATATGTCAAATTTGAGTTGAATGTGTTTGTACCGTTGGGGAGATAATAAAACAGAAACTGAAAATTTCATATTATTTTCAAAGTAAAAGGCGCATAACTCTGCCAAAAATCATCGAACCATGACCAAATTCAAACTTGACCTGTATTTTCTCATGACATATCCATATGTCAAATTTGAGTTGAATGTGTTGTACCGTTGGGAAGATAATGAACGGAAACTGAAAATTTCGTATTATTTTCAAAGTAAAAGGGGCATAACTCTGCCAAAAATCATCGAATCATGACCAAATTCGAACTTGCCCTGTATTTTCTCATGACATATCCATATGTCAAATTTGAGTTGAATGTGTTGTACGGTTGGGGAGATAATGAACGGAAACTGAAAATTTCATATTATTTTCAAAGTAAAAGGGGCATAACTCTGCCAAAAATCGTCGAACCATGACCAAATTCGAACTTGACCTGTATTTTCTCATGACATATCCATATGTCAAATTTGAGTTGAATGTGTTGTACCGTTGGGGAGATAATGAACGGAAACTGAAAATTTCATATTATTTTCAAAGTAAAAGGGGCATAACTCTGCCAAAAATCATCGAACCATGACCAAATTCGTACTTGACCTGTATTTTCTCATGACATATCTATATGTCAAATTTGAGTTGAATATGTGGAACCGTTACTAAGATAATGAACGGAAACTGATGATGACGGAATGACAGAATGACGGAATGACGGAAGGACGGAATGACGGAAGGACGGAAGGACGGAACAGGGTAACACTATATGCCCCGGCCATTACATGGCGGGGGCATAATAAAAAGCCCGGTCCGCTGGACGGAATTGTCAAATTCACGTTAGTCCATCACATAAGCCACAGCTAACGCTGAGACTCTCAACAAAGATGAATATATTCACTCAATGCCCCAATGCTCTCTGAGGAAAGACTGTCATTCTGCACACCTTCATAAGTAGCAACTGTTGTAACAATATATTAATTTAAGAAAGATAATGGTGTGAACATTGTGATTAAGTTCAGTGAGTGTTTTGGACTGTTAGATATTTCATGACATTACAATACAATGTATATATAAAAACGCGTTATATTACACGTTATATTACACGCAAAGATATTTCAAAATCTCCTTTCAGAAATGTCAGTAAATTAATTAAAATAATCAGACAAGCCACACAAACACGAACATTTAGTAATTTAATTTAATTGCAAACGTTTCGGCTATATGCCTTCATCAGTGCAAAACATAATAATTTTTTTTTTTTTTTTTTTTTTTTTTTTTTTTTTTTTAGTAAATTAATTAAAAATTGTTGCATATAACACGTTTCGCAAAAACAGGCCACCAAGCCAATGCTAGGGGAATATCTCGGCCAAAAATAGGTTCTGAACAAGACAGCTTAAGCTTTTCATAACTTTCCTCCGTTGAATCTGTACAATATATCGCAATATATAGTTATATATATAGATCATTTTAAAAGATATTAATTTATACTGTATAATTATGTTATGAAATATTTATATAATGATTAAGTCGAAAGAGTCAGAAGGCCTGTATGTGCCCCGACCACACTACCCCCTATGTTTTTATCACTTTTTTAGAACTTTTAGCGCATGTGATTTTTTTCAATACAGGATTGATTTGTACGCACGGGCGTACAGGAGTACGCCTAGTTACGCCCCTGAATCAGTGATCACATGTGTCACCTTATGATAGCCAATAGCATGTTGCAGCCACTGTGCAGCAGGAGACACAAAAATGATAAACAAGCCAAAACACACTTTTAATAAAGGGCCATAACTCAGCCAAATATCACCAGATATGATGGAAAGTCATTTTATGACCTTTACAGTAGTAGATAAACAAAATCACTGTACCCTACCGGTATATTGCTAGTCTAAACCATTCAATGTGTACCCTGTCTTGCAATTACAAGCACATGTTACTTCCAATCACTGTTACATGGTAACCTTTATTGGGCACCTGGATACTTAACTTTCTTGCAATTACTTGAAATATTTCGACCCGAGTGAGGATCGAACCTACAGCCGTGAGGGACCTGTGATCTCAAGTCAGCGACCTTAACCACTCGGCCACGGAGGCCCCCTTGCAATTACAGAAAATAGACTTGTTTATATACTGTTGCCTGGTGTGACTTAAAATCAAACAAAACAAATCAGTTCCACTTTTATTTTCAGTGAACCTCTAGAATAATTGTTTGATTTTATTGACCTGTCAATTGCATACCAATTACACGGTCAATGCCAGTGAATTTTTTTTTCAATTTTCAAAACAACCTGTGGCTTTCTGAAGGGGATATATAGAGCGATAAATCAGAAAAGGGGGGAATCTGAAATCAAATTCCAACAACTGAGAATGGAATTTACCCACACATTTTATAAAATTTTCAATTTCAATTCAATTTAACATGCATGGTGCATAGCAGAGGCTATCAATAGGAACAGTTTTCTATCTTCTAGCTGATATAGGTCAGATGTTGTTGATACTCATTGTTAGGGCGAAAAAGAGCCAAAGACCTTTCATATAGTCGGTAATCACTTAACTGACTGTGCTATAATTTGTGGAATGGAATACAACCTATGCATTAAGCTTGTGTTCCTTTTCAAAATATTAGTTATATACTCTGCATATTAATAATTTAATTCTCATAAACTACAATGTACACGGACAAAACTGAAGTGGGATCGAATATTTAAATAAGTGCTCTAACGTATTCATAATGGACTAATTACCAGCTAGTACAATTACGTCATAGCTTAAAGTCATACATTGTACATGAACATATGATAACAAAATTTATCTACATGTATTGCCTGGTATCACTATACTTTGTCACTATGAACTATTTTTAGAACAAAATAGCTTCCTGCTCCATAGTAACATTAATACATGTACTACTAAATGTGAAAATTCCTATTGATGATCGTAAAGTACAAATGATAAAAATATTTTTAGATTTTTTTTTTGTCAGTTACAAAATCTCCATGTTTCAAGAAATTTGCTTTTATGTCATGAAACACTTATTAAACCTTCTTTTTCTTAACACTTGGTCATTTAGGAAAATGATGTCATTGACATCAACAATGAAAGTTAAAGAATAAGTGATAATGACTATTGTCTGATAATGTCAAATTCCTTGTGGAGGAAGACCTTGCGTGGGCCACCTGAGTAGAACCACCAACCTTTTGTAAGCCAGCTGGAAAGTTGCCTCAGACATGAAAGATTCCAAAAGTCCTAGCAGGATTCGCTCCCACAGCAGTGAGAAGCCAGTTGTTTGATGTCACCCACTATTATCACTTAACCACTTGACTTAAGGAAGTACATGTAAAAATAATCATAGTGTACAGAATTATAAATAGGTTGGTGCTGTGA